ATTATTGGATTGACCAACTTTGAGTCCTGATCTCAACCCAATAGAGGATCTTCTTTGTTAAAAAAATGCAAATATAATTTGAATTTTGTTTTTGTTTACTACATCCTATGAAGCCATAAATAAAAATATATACTATCAAAGTATATAATGTGTTCTCGATACGTTAAATTGAAATTGATGTATTGCACATATAATTCTTTTACGAAGGTATCAGTGCATTGAAGGGAAAATAGGAGCTTCTAGGCCCCTAGAATGAACGTCATATCGCCTAAAGGTGGAGCCCAGATCGGTAGCCATGGAAATGCTTCAATTTGAATCTGTTAGCCGTTAGAGTCGGCTTACAGCTTGTAAATCTATTTAATATGCAATACTTCTAACTATGTATATTCATAATTATTACTTTAAAGGTGTTTTTGAATTTTTGAACGATTTTTTATAGTTTCCTGTTTCAAACCATGACCAAGATAGGACTCAACATTATACAAGCACATACCTCTAAGTCTATTTCTCTCAAAAAGATCGTTGTAATATCCTTATTTTGCTAACTTTTTAAACCACAGGAGAGGGAAGGAGAGGAGGTAGAACCGTCTATAAATCACCTATTTAAGTATAAATTCTACACTCACAACAAATACGAGAGAAATTTGCAACTGAATGTAGAATTTGAATTATTATATATTGTATAATATATATGATTCATAAATTTAACATAAATATCACTTTTAGTATTAAATTAACTATAGAGCAATCTATTGTGATTCCATAAAAGGGTTCTCTCATATGAAATTAACAAAACCGTACAAACAAGCAAATACCAATTTTTATATATTGGATATTTATCACATTTGTACCTTTACAATTGCATGCAACATTTGGAGCACTTATCCACTTATCGTTAACCACAGATATAGAATGAGTAATTTTATTCAACTATAATTATAGGCTTCTGGGTGCAAGCAGGCGAGGTGCCGTAATTTGGGGCAAGCAAATGTACTCGTGCATGTTTGTATGAAAATGTGGCAGCACTGCGACTATGAAAAACAATTGCTGCAGCGTGTGTTTGTATATGTTAGTAAAAAATTGCCCAATATTTGTCATAGACGCAATTGGCGCAAATCAATCAAACCTTATTCACGGCAAATATTTGTACCTGCTGTTAGCATATTGCTAGAAAATGCAATATTTTATTGAATCGAAAATTTCAATGCGGCGTGCAATGCAAATCAAAGCGAAAATGAGAAATAGGGATAAAAAAAAATTCGGAGAAATCTCTCTATGTATGTGTGTGTATGTTTTTCAGGTTGCGAAAGTGAGGCGAAAGCAAGCAAGTATTCATGTAAATGTGACTTTCCTTTCTATATACACATATTTATTAATAATAAAACACAAATTTATGTAGTGAAGAGGAGTTATTTTTTTTGCTAAATTTGCTTGCTTAAACTGAATAGCATCACATGCGTTGCAAGTGTATTGGTTTGGTTGATGACTCGCCGCTTTTGGCGATTTTTGGGTCGAGAAATCAATGAATTTGACATGACGTATGAGCAAACAGCACGAGCCGCCACGCAGGCAAAGAAATAATCATTAAGGAAAAACACATCATTTACAGCAAAGTATTTGCAAGCGAAATCGGCCAAAACATTTTGCGAAGCAATGCAAAAATAAAAAAAAAGTGTATTTATAAAATAAAATTAAAAAAAAAATTTTTGAAAAATAAAATTGGAAATAAAATTTCAAGAAAAAATTAAAAAAAAAAATTGAAAATATTATATTAAGACGAAAATTAAAAAAATTAAAAAAAAAGTATATTTAAAATTATTTTTAAATGCTTTGATAGCTCTCAGACCATCATTGCCACTTATTGGAAGTGAAAATGTGGCAATAAATGCAATCTTTTCTAGGAAGACTCGCGGGAGTTGCTGCGCCGCGAATGCGCAGGCAATGATATATGCGCTGCAGCTTCATACTATATGCTATGGGCTGGTATGTGTCACACAGCGAGTAAATGAAACGTGTCGTAGCAAGTGGATGCAAAATATTGAAACCTGTCGAAAAGTATCAAACTATGCTGGCCAACTATTGGAAGCTGGTTGCCGCTGCACGGAGCACGCAGTATTTATTCTGCGCTGTTCCGTCGTAGGCGACACAACGGCGCGTCGTTCAAGCGCATGCATATACACACATTTCTACAAGTAGATATAGTAATTATGTATGAGTTAAAATTTGCTTATAAAAGAGCGCAACGAACTTGTTCCTTCCAAAGATTCTTCACACACTGACAATGTGTATTGAGGAATTGCTCATAAATCTTGAATATAATTAATAACTGTTAAATGCTGCTGTTGGTACGCTAATAAATTGCATGTTCATGTCACAAGTGAAAAGTATTTGCGTTGCTAAATATTAATTTGAATTTAATAATGTCCATTTGCAAAATTATACTCGTACTGTTGTGCTGTGTGCAGCGGCAGGTGCGTGCTCGATATCAAAATAAATGCGTCTAAGGAAGACCGTTATACATTTTTGTTGAAAATATTAATACCTCCATGACTTTAAATGAAACATTACTAATACTCAGTTAACTCCACTTTTATATAATATAAACCGTTATTATGAATCACAACAGGTGAATGAAATTATAACAAATAACAAGAAAAACGTTAATTTCGCTTGCAGCGAAACTCTTCAAAAATACAAAAGGTTCCATATAAGAACTTAATTTGGTTCGGTCAGGTATAGGGGTCCGATCTGATTTATTTATTGGGAGATTGTACCGTTGCTTTGGAAAATAATCCGTGCTAAATTTCGTGAAGACGTCAAATAAAAGAGTTTTCCATACAAGAACTTAATTTTGATCGTTCAGTTTATATGGGAACTAATATATGCTATAGTGATAGCAGCTCGTCATGATGATCATTTATATATACATTTTATAGGGCCTTCGACGTTTTCTGCTGATTGTTACAAACTTTATGCGAAACTTAATATTTTTCGTTCAGGGTATAGAGAACAAGATGTCTGATGTTAGAGATTTAAGTACCATATTTCAAAACTATTGATACTATAAACAAATTATTAGGCGTATTTGATTCGCTACTTCTCTGCTCGCTTAATTTGAGTTATATGTTCTTTTCAACTAAAAGCAATTATATATTTATCCATATCATTTATGGTAAATAAAAGAGAGTATGTATGCGTGAATACCATTTTAAAGTGGTGAGACGCTTGTTAAAAAATATCTACTTGATTATACCAGTATATTATACTTATACCAGTTGTTTGTTCGTTTCTCTAAGCACTGATAAACATATTAAAGTGTGATTGAGTTTAATCAATGGTATTGTAAGCGGTTCAACTAAAAGTGTGACCGGCATGGTAAAGAGTTGAATTATGACAAATAAAAATGTGATCTTCGATTTTTTTATGGTACAATAAATATTGTAAATAATTATAAGAAGTCTATTATATGTAATGAGCAAATATAATGCAATTACGATATGGAAAAAAAAATCTGAAATTGATCAGCGGAAACTTTAATATTGGGACGATGAAACGAATTCAGGTTTAAACCTATTGGTAAAGTTTAGAATGGCTGGGTATGATCGAAAGACTACAAACTGATTGAAGACTCGGTATATATATTGTATATATATATATATATAATTAATATTCTCGAATTATTATTATACATTATGATCGCCTAATCCTGATCAGAATATCCGAATTTAGCTCGAATTTAAGAAACCAATAAAAAGCCCTTATATTATACATCCTAAACAATAATTTGCGAATCATTTTGAATCCCTCATACTCAGTGACCTAGCGGTGGGAGATTGGGGACCAACCATTTTTTTTCAGTTTTTTTGTTCCTCCAGCAATTGATGGATAAGGAGGCCCGCATTCTATATCCTCCATAGGCCCCGGTTTTTGCCTTTACGGCTCTATTTATACTTCTTTTATTAAAAGGTGCTCCTATTTAACAAAATAATATGTGTATGTACTTATACATATACATATATTCATGTGTTTTCGCTACACACTAGAGTTCATGCTTAATTAACATTTTCGCTGACACTCGGACTGACAATCTGTCACCAACAACAGATAATACAAACAACAACAATGAAAAAATAATGTTCACTGCTGTTCTTATGTTTTATTATTTTGGTTTTTTATGGTGCTTGCGGTTTATTAACAATAACATTTTCATCAAGCCACAAACTGACAGGCGCAGTGTTGTCTTTTCGCACTTCTTGTTTATTTTTGCCATCACGAAAGATCAGACGATGCATGTCGTTGCCATTTGTTGCTGCTGTTTATAGTCTGTATACTGGTCTAAAGTGTGCAGCAAACGATGTTGCCGCAATTAGCATGAGGATATATACTTACATACATAAATACTTATATCTAAGAATATGCAGACTTTGTCAATACTGAAATATGATGTTTAAGTAAATAAAATAAGGGCAATTATATCCGGATGGTTAGAAGTAAACTGAATTATATAATATCATGCTCTGAAACCTTCTATATGTGAACCTACTAGTTTTAAGGGCTTGAATGCATAGTATGATATAAGTATGGTCGATCATATACCCTTGACAATGTCAAAGTTCTGAAGTTTCAAAATGTGCAGAGTGGCCAAACGAACAAACAACTGGTATAAATCAAATAGACTGGTTTAGAGATAGCATAGGAAGTGCATGCTTTTCTTTTATAAACTACCAAAAAACTATTAAAACAAATTCAAATTGACAAGAAAAAGAGAGCAGGACCTGATAAAGAAAGAGAAGAAAATAAATGGCAAATCGAAGAAGCCTAGTACTAAAAAACCCATTCGAATAAATGTACAACTGTAATAAACCTGAGGTATTCATTAGCCCTTACTAAAGTGGTCTGAGAAGTTCTAGACAAATCTTAAAATCCATTATTTGAAAAAAAAATAGGATTATTATAATTTATTATTGCAAGAAAGAAGAAGAGGGGAGGTCGCCCTCATCCTGAACGAAATTTCACATGAGAATTAAAAAATGGCCCTCAAAAATCTTTAAACTACTCATTTGAAAATTTTGCAACTATGTAAACTTGAAATTCAATGACAACTATTTAGAAAATATAATGAAAATAAATTTTTTCATACATAAAATCACAAATTTCCGTTCGTCTTCCGAATTTTAAGTATTAATAAGCCAAAATTCTAAAATATGGATCTAGCGTCACCGAGTTGTGGTTGTATGTGAGTACAGTTATACAGCCTAACCGAGGAACTGTCTTTAACTTAAATTAAGAATTGTATCTACATATGTACCTATACTAGTTGATCTACTATATATAACTGTGCTTTACTATTCCCTCTGCCATAGGTCAACAACAGAACATTCACCCGAATGCCCAACAGGCTTCATTCGTAATCCTCATATCGCTCGTATGGAAGAAGATTTCCTTTATCATCTTGGTTTGGGCAGGAAATCACATAATTTGCCAGAAATGTTCGGCGACGTGAAGGTAAGCTTGCAATTCTGATATGAGATCTTCGTTTTATATTTGTCTAATTATGAGACGAGGAGTAACAGCATGAATTATTGAAAAACAGTCGGCTGCTTTGAGAGCTCAATCTCCTTTTCGTTCTATAAATTTTGATACTTTCTTAATGTGGTACTAATGGGGCACTTGAGGCCCTTTATAATTAATAAGAGCCTTTTCATATTAGAGACAAAGAGTGGATTGATATCAGTGACCAAGTCATGAGAAATATTAAATTCTTTATAACTAAAGTCTCTTACCAATCTTAGTTCCTTTCCTGACTACCATATTTTTATGTGTTACAGAGCTCTTCGCTATCCTTTAACCTAACATTACTTATACCATAAATGAGTTCATATCTTACAGAGGACATGACATATAGACTCCTGTCGTGTCTCCTGTGGGGTTAGAACTCTTGTCAAAACTATAATACTTAGAGTGATGCTGCGATTTTTTTTATAGTTTGTCATTGTAGGTGGTACACCGAAACGTATGGAAAACCTTGCGAAATATTTGTTGGATGAAATAAAACACAAGCTACCTGTTGGCACACAATTGTCTGACTTAACCGGCGCCGCAGATCGTTACTCCATGTACAAGGCGGGACCGATTATTTGTGTCAATCATGGCATGGGCAACCCCTCGATTAGCATTTTACTGCATGAATTGATTAAGCTCGTACATCATGCGAAATGTAAGAACCCGGTTTTCATACGCCTTGGAACGTGTGGCGGTTTGGGTGTACCAGGTGGCACCGTTGTCATTTCCGATGGTGTGCTCAATGACAAATTGAATGCCGAACATGAATTTGTGCGTAATATTTGTGACGATAGTTGATTATTTAAACATATAACAATAATATTATAAATATAACTGTCATAAACCTTTTGATTTGCAGAAAATTTTGGGTAATGTTGTGCCACGACCCACAAAACTAGATGCCAATTTAGCGCAAGAGCTCAAGGCAGTAGCGAGCCCAAGCGATGGCTTTCAAACAGTTATAGGCAAGACTTATTGCGCCGATGACTTCTATGAAGGTGAGATTTGTGGAGGCTCCTTAGATAGTGTATAATATATAACTAACAAGTTGGTTTACACGCAATCGCCTAGGGCAAGGCCGTTTGGATGGTGCATTTTGTGATTACCAAGAAGCGGACAAGATGAGATGGCTAAAAATGCTGCAGCAAAGAGGTGTGGTAAACATCGAAATGGAGAGCTCCATGTTTGCAGCACTAACCCACAATGCCGGCCTTAAAGCAGGTATAATCTGTGCTGCCATAGTTAATCGGCTCAACGGTGATCAGGTATGTTTTAATTGTGTTATCGAGAGGGTTACTTAAATATAATATATTTCACTCAATCACAGATTACAGAAAGTAAAGAGACACTCGGCGAATGGCAAGAGCGTCCAGCTAAACTACTCGCTCGTTATATACGCAGACAGCTGGGTGTTTAGAAGGAGGGTTGCTCTTAAAGTGAAAACAGTAGTGGTTTTCTTCATCATCATGCACCAACAGCTCACAAGCTAGATCCAAATAGGTCATAGCAAGCGCTTATAAATTTAATAAGGGAGATGAATTTTCTTTTGGCAAGAGATACTAAATTTTTGGTTAACATTTCGAAAGCAATAAAAATGTAATTTTTATATTAAAAATACGTGGTTCGTTTGTTGACCCCACGACAAAAGCCTGCCTTTGTAGAAATTGTTATATATTTATATTTTTTAGCAGGTTTTTGTTATGTTTTCATTGTACGAACCTGATGTATAATAAAAAATATATAACTAAACATAACCTCTAACTTACTTGGCTGTATAATTTTTTTAATTTGGTTCCACAGACATAAATTCTGGTAGGTACGTTTTGAAACACTAAAATATATGACAATGTTATGAGAAGGATTGTTGTTTCAAATATTAGTGAAACCAGATAAATAATTTGGTCTAATGCTAGGTTCCAACTTGTTTCTTGTATTTTCAAAGTAAGTATCAAATTTTCCAAGAGTTTTCTTTAAAAAAATAATTGTAATTACTAAAACCTTTGCTTTGTTTCATCAAATTCTCTACGTTAGCTATGTGTTCAGTCTAATTTATCAAGCACGTTCTCAGCTTGGATTGAATCAAAAAAATATAATACATTGCATATAAAATCAATCGATATCCAAATTAAAATTTTTTAAGAAGACTTTCAAAAGGCAAATATTTGCATGTTTTTTGACGAGCTAAAGAACCAGAATTAGAATTAATCTGACTATAGAAGTCAAAAATGCTTATTCACTTTCCTGTATATTGATTTGAGCTTGCAGTTAGTGATCGAGTTCCATTATATACATATTTTGTTGTTGAAAACTGATATCGTTGTTCTGTACTAGATATCAATGGAATCATGAATATTATGTTTTGAAACTCACAAGACATGCATAGAATCGATAATGCTATGTTCTTACGATTTTAATATGGCCAACCGTAGAGGAAATATTATTTATACTTTTGAGCAGTTGTGATCTTGAAAATATAATAAATGTTCCCTCTAGCCCCGATATATGTAAATATTAAGTTTTACTTTTTTTAATCTACTAAGTGAAATAAAATACACTTCTTATTCGTTTTTAGTCCGAAACATAAAATGTTTCTTAAATCTAAGAAGAGATGAGCTCCATAAAGGCTGTCAATATACTCTCCCATAGCGAAGACTTCAGCACGATAGAGATTATGACAAGATTATTTCTAGCATGTCTTTACTTCCACTTAGGTGACATATATTGTATTCAGATATTAATTAGATTCATAAAACATGAGATAATTATAAATTCAATAATGTTTCGATAGCATTTCTTTTAATCCGTTCTTAACTTTAGTTATGCCGAGAGAATTTAGAAGAGCGCATTTATTTATATATACTATTTGAGTGTTTGGAATGAGTTAAAAATTTGACTATAGAAGTTGATTAATTTGTAATGAATTTGTCTTATAAATATTGTCAATACACTAACTTAGTTCTTTGCAATTTACAATTAATTTTACAAAAATATAAAATCATTTTGTACTTACCAACAACGTTTCCGCCGGTAGTTGGTAACGGTAATTTCTCGAAAGCAACTGCTCTATAAGATCTTTCACTGGCGATCGATTCAGTTGTCTGCGCAAAGGAAAGCACATTGAGAATAAAAACAAATTTATTTGCAAAGTTCAATAAAACAATCTTTCATTCATAAATTTCTTGTATGCCTGTAATTCTCACCTGTGTTACAATCTTCGTATGCTCTTCGATATACTCGCTGTGACTATGGCAATATTCCTCGATGCTTTCAACAGCCTGCAGTGAATAAAAATATTTGTTTTTACTCAGAAGAATGAAAAAACGAATAATATTGTGCAAATCAAATAAATATACATATTAACTTTCTTACGCTGTTATCGTGTGTGTAATGCCGTTTTTTCGCACTTACTGCAGCGCATCGAAATAGAAAATTCACATAATTTTTTTAATCGAAAAAATAACGGCAATTTGTGCCGACTGCTGGCTAATATTCTGCATTGTATGTTGATTGATTTAGCAACTAGAAAATGTAGTAACTGACATTTGAAGGGCTTTTATTATTTTGTGCTGGAAATTGGCCTGAAAATGTGTGCAGCGTTCGATGCGAAATGCGATTGATTGATACGAACCGCATTGCTGCGCTACACTTTGGCCCGAAGGCTGGCACAGCAGGCTGGAGGTGAGTGCTATATGCTTTTTTATTGTTATTAGAAACATTTGCTGCAAAAAATTTGTGAAATTCCAAGACTTTTCAAAGTTTTTCGTCTTCGAAAAAATAATTTTTTGAATTTGTCTAAGTGCCAAGCCGATTATTAATTGCACTGTGTCATGGCAAAACAACAGATGTGCGCACTTGCCAAATTTAAAAAAGCTTCCAAAGACACATGCTTACATATATATAAGCAATCAGATTGTGTGAAAGCGTGGTAAATCAAAAAACTAATGACCCAGAAATATCGTCGATATATACAGACATATGTATATGTTATTGAGAAGTTTTTAATCAAATTTGTTATATGTGAAAAATACTACAAGGAATTTTATTTTGTTGTATGTATGTATGCTTAAATATATTATATATAGCATATGTATATATGCTTTTGTTATCTGGCGCTATTGTCGTCTGGCCAACGCCCATTTTAGTTTAGTTTATTTTTATTTCGCTTTATTTTATTTTTGTTTTTTAGTTTTTTTTTATATTTTGAATTAGTCAATTAAACTTTTTGTTTTTGTTTTGAACAAGCTTATTGCTAATTTGTCTCTTTTATTATTGCCACTGTTTCCTGTTTGCTAGTTTTCCTTATTTTATAAACACAATAAAGTGCGGACGTGCTCCAGCAGCTGTGTCTTTCGATTGTCCTCTCCATAAAAACGTTAAAAATATCAACATGTTTTGTTTAAAAAATATTCAGCTTGTAGTTAAATCATGTATTTTTAGATAATTTATAAAAAACATGCAATAAATATATTTACATTTTTTTTTTATTGTTTTTTGTTATGTTTTGGTTACTACGCACACTATTTTCGATTAAAAATTTTAAATTTTTAATTTCAATTTATGTTTTATTTTAATTTTTTATTTCTTATTATTTATAAATTTTTTTTATTTGGTTTTCATATTTATTTATAACCAACGCAATTTCATACATCTGCAACTATTGCCTCTTTTCCTCAACATAATATTTTGAATTTACTTATGCTCTGCCTTCAAAAATATGCACCATTAGCCAGTGTTATTCGTAAATTTGAAGAAATTTGCAATATTATTTATATTTCTTTAAGAAATAATTATGACATATACATACAATTAATTTCGGGAATATCCAATTTATTGCGTGTATAGCACAACCTTCAGCAATGTCAAATAAATGAAAAAAGGAACCGTTAAAAACTCTGTGATTAATATATTTTTCCGGCCAACGATTCTATTCGGCCACTCATTTTTTATATACTTCGTAATGAAGAAAATATAGAGATCTAAATAATTTTTTTATTTTTATTTTGTGGAGAAAAATATAAACTAAGAAATCTATTCAATCTGTTGGAACATCTAAATTTTTGTTAATATTTCCAAGGTACACTAATATTTTAAAATTATTTCTTATAAATAGCACACGGTTTACAGAAAATAATTTTTTTAAGAGCTAATTAGTTTTGAGTTGGCATTGCTGATATTATGATTTGATTTAAGAACTGATAATCGATCAATATATAGTTAGACCGAAAACCACGTCTACTCAAAATATAACTATAGTTTCGATTATGGAAAAAAGATTTAGGAAAATACTAATTTGATAATTAGGGAAATCGATTGGAACAATATATTTGAGTGGCATAAAATATTCAAATAAATTTTATATATTTTTGATGTTTTCAGTGCCAATTTATAACACTTTTCATTGTCAACATATACTAAAAAAGCCGTTTTCCTTTCGCAAAATCTTAGAGAGCGCCGAATCGAACAAATAACTGGCATAAACATTAAATATTGGTATAATTAAAGAGAAATAGAAAAGCGAGCGGTTATACCCTTTTAGCTCGAAACTGCTTGTTGAATTTAATTAGTTACTGTTGATTTCACACATAAATTGACAAGAGAGGAGCGCTCAGACTTAGATATCAGTGAAGTGGCAAATCGAAAACAGATTTAACCATTTTGAAAACATTTTGTTACTATTCCAATTATTTCATATATATATATGAGCTATTTAGTTATACTACACATAAAATATTATAACATGTTGAAAGAAGAATGGTGGCACAATCCCAATTAAAGCCATTTAAGTATGTTAAACGATGCCCTTGTGAATATTTATTATTTCATACAGGATAACAAACTCAGTACACAATTTCAGAAGTATAGGGTCAAAAGGGTTTCTTCAAAGTCAAAATATTTTAATTTCTATTATTAAATTCCTTTTTAGAAGGGCTTTTTAAGGCATCCAAAGTAGTTATAACAAATAGGATTGAATTGGTCCGTACAAATAATCATTTCACTATATATTTGATTTCTTAAAATTTAGTTTCCTAGATTGTTTAAGGTTCTGAGAGAAATTTTTCAACCTATTTGCTAATTAAAAATAATTTGAAAGTTATTTTATTTGAGAAATATTTACCATAAATAAAAATTTATATTTTTAAATTTTTTTGTTGGTTTTTCGAAAGTTTATTGAAATCAAGTAATATTAAGAATATTCGTGAAATTGATTGTGCAACATGCTATTTTTTCTTGTTTTTATAGTAAATTATAAATAAACAATTCTAAAAATTTTTAAAAATATTTTTAAGCGAAAAGTATTGGCAATTCTATGAAAAAATTTTGATTAGCGGAAACCACAGGGTTATGTGTAAGAAAGTGACTAGTTGAAGTTCATAACTTAAAGCTCGTTCGTGCCCAGGGCAACATTAGCAAACTATAGTGGTATATACATACAGAGTGTGTAACCGAATTTTATATACAAATCATATGCAGCATTAAAAATATCATCTTTCGAATGCACCAAACATCATCTAAATCGGATGACAGAATTTACAGCCATTCAATAAAAGAAAAGGTATGCAAATGTTTAATTTTTAAAAATAGCAAATATAAAATTTTTTTTAAACTTGCTGAGAC